CTCTTTTGTTTCTTGCTCCTCCAAACACATACACACACCTGGTTTTATGTTAAGTTAACCAGAATCACTTTCTTTTGTTTTCAATACCCCATTGGAACAAATTCATTTGGGTTCACGTGAATATGAAACTAAGATCTGAGGGTATGTATAACATTATGAACTGCATTTAAAAGATAAAAGCAGATAAAAATTGTTACATGTAATTTCACTATAATATAGTGAATATATATGGTGGTTGTATGTGTGTGTATATGCGTGTGTATACGTGCATAATCTCCATGTTTGCCTCATCTAAGTGGCAAATACTTTTATACCATGAGTATTTTGTGTTAGTTGCAAGAGATGTTATCCAAATTGGTTTTTGTGTATTGATGTTAATCTAGCATTCCAGCGTGACCTACTTGACTGGAGAAAAGTCCTTTCCAGCCCACTGGTATTTATTTGAACTGTGTGAATTCTGTTAGCTAATGCTGGTTCAAACAAACACCATTGAAATAAGAGTAAACACTAAGCAAACACACCTACTTTATTGTAAAAAGTGAAAATCCTGTGTTTTGATAACAGCACTTTCTCCTAATATTGAGTGTATGTAAATTTTCTCTAACTTTCCATGGACCCTTTTATTTTCCACTATAAAAATTAAGAGGTTGCAGAGAGTGCTAAAACTTTTAGAAAAAAGATAATCTTTAAGAAACAATAATACTTCTTTTATAATGCTTACTATTACTCATGTCTTCTAAATCAGCCCTTGCAACAGCTTAAAGGAAGGCATTATCTCTGTTATCCAGGTGAAGAAACTGAGACTGATATAGGAAAAATTAACTTGTCTGAGGTCACCCTTAATTTATGAAGAGACAGAGCTGAAATTTAAACAGAGGTATCTCTGTCGGCAAAAACCATGCTTTTAACCACTGTACTATTTAATTTCTGTAACAGATTTTTTACTCTGTTTATCAGTCCATGAAAGTATATCTACAAGGCACAAGAAAGAAATTGGATACAATTTGTCACACAGAATAGCTTTCTAAAATCAACTCAGATAAGACACTTGGGTAGGTTGTATTTGAAGAAAATAAAATGATTGGAATATGTATCTCAGAGATTCCAATCTCTGCTTTCTTAACCTGAACAGTAACGCAGAACTCTCAAGTTCACTGTATAATACTTATGGCTACTAGAGAGACAAGTTCAGTGTTCTCTTTAACAGTAAAAATAGAAAAATACAAATAAAAAACATTTAGCATTAAAAAGTGAAACAAAAGTGCCAAATTTTTATCTAGAGATGTCACAACCTCTGTTGTGAATATTGGGTGTTAAAAATAGAAATTGATTGAAACCCGCTTGCACAATTGTGCTTAGAGGAGAATGTGAAGGGTGGGTGTAGGGGACAAAAGTTCTGAAACAGGAGTGTAAATTCATGCCACATGGGTAAGGAATTTTCACTAAAAATTAGATTGAATGAAAATTCATACCAAGTCTCTGCAAAATTGTCTTCTACAGCTGTCATTATCAAAGTGGAATTCCTGTACGAACAGCACCAACATCACCTGGAAACTAATTAGAAATGCAAATTTTCTGGCAACACTAGACTCACTAGACCAGAAATGCTGGGAGTAAACCCCAGCAATCTGTGCTTTAACAAAGCCTCCAGGTGACTCTGATGCATGCTCAAGTGTGAGAAGCACTGTGCTAGAGATACAAACTGAGTTCCATTTCCTAGATTTATGGTTGAAGCACATAACTCCCTGCCATTAGATGAGACCCAGTGGGGCTTTTCAGGAAGGTAGAGGGAATCCCAAATAGTGCAGCTTTTGGTTCATCTTAAATGTCTGATTTCAACAAGCAATTTCAATGACTGTCTGGTTAACACATGTTGCAAATATAAGTCTTGCTCTAGACTTCGGTGTGCAAAGAATATTATTATATATCTTTTGTTCATTCCACATCCCATCAGGTTGGCAGGGAATCCAATCATAGGCTATCGTGGAGCCTCCTCTCCTCACTGTTTTAAGTGGGTCCTTGATTGTAGGGGAAAGTTAAGTCTACAAAGCTTGGGGGTATCAGAAAGTCATCTTAGGTTTTCAGTTCACACTGGTTACCACTGAGAAATCCACTGTGTAAGTCAACAGGGCTCATATAGGTCTGGCAATTTTACTATTTTATGGCAGGCGTGGGATGCAACACCATTGCTGAGATTAGGGTCCTTTGTTCTTACAGTCTGCCTCCTCTAGAAATACCAGGCAGGCAGGCTGGTTGAGGTCTTGCCAATACCCTTAGGAGATTTCAGGAGGACAGGTTCCATTATTTTTGGGACCACAGTTTCCACCTTTTTCTCACTCTGAAGGAATTTCTTTCTCTGTGTAGGTGCCCAGAGAAACACTCTCCCCTAATAGAAACTACATCTGTGGGCCCAAACTTTCAAAGAAAACTGGAATAGGGTGTCTTTAGACACAGCCCCTGCTTTGTACTTTCCAAAAGCCTCAACACTTATTGGTTCAATGAAAGAAAAAATAAATGATTATGGTCACTCAAACCAGTTGGCTCTGTATGCTACTCACTTACACAGTAGCCTGACCAGAGTTCATACCTTTGTAACCTCTCTCCGTGCTGGCCACTGAGTCATAGGATTAGACTATCCTATCTAGGGTGTTTACAATGTTATCATTGGTAGCTGGTCTCAATAATAAAACTAATCATCATAATTCATTTTTATTTACTGAGCAACTGTTGTGTGGCAGACAGCGTGCTGGAACCTTTCTATAGGTCCTCTTGTTTTCTTTTTCAAAATAACCCTATGAGGTACTTCTAGCTTCAACACTTGAAGTAGCTTTTCCAAGATCATTCAACTCCTAAGTGGAGGGAAAGAGATCAGGATTCAGCTCCAGCTCTGTTTCCTCTCCCAAGCACCCAACAGAGCTTTGGCTCTTTTCCTATGCCACACTGCTTCTTGCTCTACCTCTCTGGAGGCAACCAACCAAACGAACTCACATTTGGATCAGTTACCCAAAGCTCCTCAGAACCAACCAAAGCACCCACTATGTGTCCCTTGGAAGTAATCAAAATGACTGATTAGTAATGTTTCCAGAAAAAACTTCTTCTTGGTAGCGGTGCTTTCTGGTCCTGCTCAGGGTAATGACAGTCATATACTGTGGAGATAATAGGTTCTATCTTCTGGAACTAACTTTAGAAGCTCCATGCATTCTTCCTTTGAAGTATGAAGAGTGAGCCCAGTCTGCATTTGGACAATGAATTATTATTATTATTATTTTCGACATAGAGTCTCACTCTGTTGTCCAGGCTGGAGGGCAATGGCAAGATCTTGGCTCACTGTTACCTCAGCCTCCCGGGTTCAAGCAATTCTCATGCCTCAGCCTCCCGAGTAGCTGGGATTACAGGCATGTGCCACTGTGTCTGGCTAATTTTTGCATTTGTAGTAGAGATGGGTTTCATCATGTTGCCCAGGCTGGTCTTGAACTCCTGGCCTCAAATGATCTACCTGCCGTGGCCTCCCAAAGTGCTGGGATTACAGGCATGAGCCACTGTGCCCAGACAATGTATCTTAATGAATTAGCTGGCCCAAGGGCCTACACCAAAGAGGTTGTGAATTTTGAAATGATTTTTGGAAAGGGCTTAAAAAGGGAAACTAAGGCTAATTTAATGTATTCATAATACTAGTCTTCAGCATTTATAAGTATTAAGGTCTGTGTTAAGCACTCCAAATATTATCATGGTTAGTACTGTCAAAATCTCTCTGAAGTGGTTCTCTGTCCCCCAATTTCATCATCTGTTAAATGGGCATACTATCCTCTCCATTGCAGAGGTATTGGGAGGACTCAGTGAGAGGGGACCTGGCACATGACAGGCACTCAATAAATGTCAGTTATTATTACTTCCTCACTTTCAGAATAAGGAAATTGTGGCTTGGCTACATTGAATGCCCCAGATGGCATGGTAAGCAAGAGAGTTGAATCTGTACCTGCATGGTTCTGGGAGCCGCACTGGAAACCCCAGTGCTCTCCAGCCTACCTGTGCCTCCTTTCAAATGACAGGGAACAAAGCTTCTGTATCTCTCCCTTCCCATCCCTCAAAAAATGCATTTGGTCCTCTTAGACCTGATTACCTTTGCCTACTTAAAAATTAAGAAAGACCATTTTTTGAGAGAAGGTGTGATGTTTATTATTGAGATAATTAAGAGGAGTTCAGATAAACTTTTCTGTGAAAGCCATTGACACTTTCATTAAATACTGAGCTGCCCACTGAAAAGTTCTCCTTTGATGGATGTTTCCGGTGTGGCTCCTACAGAAGTCACCCACCTGCCTGCCATGGTAATGTAATCAGGTAACCTTTGTCTGTGACAAGCCCCAGGCTGATGAAAGCTAAAATGCAAACAAAAGGAAATGACTTTTTGATTGACATGACTGTTTTGTGGATTGGCCTCACAGATAAAATCAGTCAAAACAAATGAGTTTATGCATCAACACATACTTAAAAAAGATTGTATTTGGAAATTTCATGGCAGATGTGATCTTTTCTGTTTTTGCTTTTGAAGTTCTCAGTGTCTATTTTACGATAAGGGGCAATGTTAGGAAAGAGAAAGTCAGCTATAGTTCTCAATTTTAATTACGAAAGATCACATTGGGGAGTCTGATAAAAAAGCAACTTTCTGGGCCTCAACAGTAGAAATTCTGGTTCTATAAGTTTAGAATTGAGCCAAACATTTATTATTATTATTTATTTCTTAAAAATACTGCCAGCGATGTCCTTGGATTTTGAGAAATCAGAAGATGAAAAATAATGGGTGACATATGCTTTTACATTAATGAGAAGGAATACTTAGAACATAAATTTCACATGTTCTTTATTTCTTTTTTTTAAATGTTTTGTGAGTACATAGTAGGTGTATATATTTGGGGGGCACATGAGATGTTTTGATACAGGCATTAGAGGTGAAATACATCATGAAGAATGGGGTATCCACCCCCTCAAACATTTAGCCTTTGTGTTACAAACAATCCAAATTATACTCTTTTATTTTAAAATGTACAATCATTATTAACTATAGTCACCATGTTGTGAGATCAAATAGTATGTCTTATTCATTCCTGCTGTCTACTTTTTTGTACCCATTACTGATGCCCTCTTCTCCCCCAGCCCTCCACTACCCTTCCTAGCCTTTGCTCACCATCCTTCAACTCTCTATGTCCTCATTATGTTAAGTGAAATAAGCCAGGCACAGAAAGACAAACATTGCATATTCATATATACTTTTAAAAAGTGAATGACTATGTCTTATACTGTCTTAGGCAGAATACATATTCCCGGGGGCAGACACTGGGCTTTTCATTTTATATTCCCAGTGCCTGGGACATGTTAAGTATTGCTGAAAGAATGAAGAACAGGTTAATGATAATTTTAGAGTATTGCCTTGTTTTGGTGTTCTTGGTTTGCTTAGCACTCAGGACAAAATCATTAATAGAAGAATTTCATATTTGCACAAATCATTTAAATTAATTGCAAATAATGTAAATATCATCGAACAAACTGCTCTTTAAGTAGTCCCCACATTACAAACTCCCAGCTTGCAAAGAGCCCTTATCTATGAAGCACCTGAGTGGAAGAAGTTTCCATTATCACTGCTCTTGAGATCACTTCCCTGTCACCACCATTTTGTCCCATTTCACTTCCACACTACAGTTACCCTCAGATACCAGATAGACACAGATGACAGAATAGCAACGAAGTCCCTGGCCCCAACTGTCTCCACGTATTTCCAGAGATTCTTCTGCAGTCATCCTATTTGTCCCTTACTGCTTTACTCCACCACAATGCCTGGGAGCCCCTGACTGGGCCTCTCATGCACCCTCCTGCCCTACTCTTTGTAGAGTTATTCAAGCTAGCACTTTGGGATAGCACTTTTATTTAACAATTTTTACTCAGCTTCACCCAGTTGAGAAAATAGAAGCAATCTAAGGCACTTTCTGGGCCTGATACATTAGACAGGAGCCACATATGAGATGTACTCTGCGTTATCAGTGTAGACTTCTTCCCAGCCTTTATGACAGCATCATTGTGAAAGAACTAGAGGAAAAGTTAGCTCTTGAGCAGCAAACCTGAGTGCATATCTCCTATTCCTCCTCCTTTTTTAAACTTATATCTAAGTGATTATGACAGAATTTTAGGTGATAGGAACAATGAAGAGAGGGTACCATCTAGCCAGGCATGGAGAGGAAGGTTTTTGCCACCACACTCTTTTTAATTTATGGCAACATTTCAGGTAAATATTGGTTTCCTCCTTTTAAATATGAGTAAATCTCAGAGAGTTTAGGCAAATTCCCCCAAGTGACACTGTCAATGAGAGGTTGAGATGAGTTTGAATCCCAGGCTGATGTCACAGCATGTGCTCTTCCTTCTCAAACTTTCTCTCTCCAGTGGCAGGGAAGAATAAACACAGACCCTATGGGATGTCAGAAATATGCACCAAAGGGGCTCCCTTTCTTTTCTCATTTTATCTTTAAGTTCATGTATACTTTTGCATTTTCACAATATGTCTGTGTGGGACGGAAGCTAAAAGGAATCATTATTTCTTCAAAACTTCAAGTAAGATGGCAGTCCAGAAGATGAACCATGGCTGCCCCTTGGCATTGATCTACCTCTAGTAGATTAGGGATGTGTGTCACTCAGGGGTGAAGCTTGCATCTTGTGCTGCCGATTGACTACATTTTAAAACGTAGTGAAAATTCACAATCCCAATCTAAAAGCGATCTCAAATTGGAGCTGAAACTTTGAGCCAATGAGTAAAGGGAAAAACTGCCAACTCAGTGGCGTCAACCTAAAGTCTTCACTTTGGCCAACACGGTCAGCATCCAATTCAACTGGTTAGTTCATTCAGCTATCTTTGGATGTATCTTGTCTGCTATTGCTCTCAGATGTTGCGCCTTCAGTTAACTTGATTTGAAGCCCAAAGAAGTATGTTCTCCCTGAAGACTGAAATTGGGAAAAATTTGATTTTATTAAACAATAAAAGATATATACTACAATGTATCCACCTGGAAGTTAGCATTAGAATTCCTGAAGTCAAAGGTAAAAATGTGGAAGAGGAAAAGATTTTTTTTCTTCTAAAACATGTAGTTAGATATTATTCCAACAGAGAAAAGGCAAATGTTTTAGTTTGCTTGTGAGTTGTCAGGCCTCAATTTCCAGGTAGAACTTTATTTATTTAATGAAGAGCATATCGTTTTATAAAAATGTGTGTCAAAACTACAAAAAGGTCATGGCATTTTTATCTGTCACTGTCTGCATGGGTTCCATTTTCCTGCACCACAGTCCAGAAATTGTTTCCAGAGAAAAAAAAAAAAAAAAACCTTAGTGAATGTGAGGGCCACCTTGTGTGCACCCTTTCTCTTAAGGATTGTAGCTCTGCCTGGGCTCCAGTCTCATAACTGCAAATATTTATTTTATGTTTTCTGCAGGTTTTAAAGTTTAAGGTGGGAGAGTAAGTACAATACTAGCTATCATTATATCTGAAACCATAAATTTGCTCACTGGGTCTTTCAGCAACACAAGTCAAATTTTGATAGTTTTTTTTTTTAATTACCATTAATTTCCAGATTTTTGAAAGAAAAAATTTTCAGGGGCAACTTTATAAACATTTCATAGATTTTCCTGTGGATTTACAATTTAATTAAAATCTTACTTGAGAACAGTCAACTGACTTCAATCATCACAGAGAATGATTATTACAAAAGAAAAACTAACAGACCAAAATAAGCCTAGGTGATCATTATTTCCAAAAGCTTCCATGTAATTGAGTTTTTAGAAATTCAGAATCCGTTGTGCTATATAAACAACATTGACCTTGACTAGCTTATTTTACCAAAATGTTAACTTAGATTTAATAGATTACTTTTAGGATATGTCACCATAATTTCTTTGAGAAAATAATGTCTAATGTGCCAACTGGAAATTAAGAACTTCCATAAAAGATTCTTGATCTCTACCCTCTCCCCCAACCAGATTTAAATCACTGAGACAAAATTTTCACACTGCCTAACTCATGTACACACTTATCCACCCAGTAATAGAAGGGATTATCCCCTTCACCTTAGCAATTTATACAGAAATCTTTCTCCCCTCTTCTTTATCTCACCTACTTCTGAAAACAATCTTAGGCATCTCAAAATAAAGGCACAAATTTAAGATAGCCATTTAAATATGAATAAGAGGATGTTTTTAGAAACATCACTGGTAGAATGTATTTGTAAGGAAATGCAAATATCATTTTAGCAAATGACCCTGACTTGTACTGTTAAAGCACTTAAATGAGGAAATTGCTCTGGAATATGGTAACACATGGCACTTCCATCATGGTGATGATGACTCAGACTTGGTTAGATGCTTCCAGAGACACCTACTTCAGCTTTTAGTTATTGCCTAACTCTAAATCCTCCCAAATTGGTTGTATGCTTGTGCACATGAGAACTGATCTGAAAGAATCCATTACTTTCCTGTTCCTTCCAGGAAACTGTGTGTGTACAAGTGTATATCTATGTAAACATCATAACCAGATGGGCAGAACCTCATATGGAGTGGGGCAGAATATCCCGGTTATGTATTTCCCTCGTGGAGACCAAGGCTTGGAGTTTCTAAACTGAGGTTAGAAACAAAAAAAAACCTGTGATCACACATTACACTTATGTCCAGTGCATAAACAGTACCTATAATCAGAGTTTTTTGTCCCCTACTGATAACCAAGATAAAAAAACAATTTTGTTTCAACCTGAATTCAAAATTATCATATTGTATATCACATCAAAATAGTTTTCAGGCTATTTTTCAAAATACAGTCAAAACAACAGTTCTTTACCTTGTTTTTAGTATTTCTTCTGGCATATACTCACATAAAGGGCAGCCCAGTCAGGTTCCTATAAGTGGTGTCAGTATCGGTTTGCTGGAAGAGGGGAAATTTCTGAGATGTTCTCTTGTTAGTTGACATTATTTCTTTTATCTTTTTTTTCTTTTGACTGCTCTCTCTGTAACACACTAGTGCTGATCCTTACTGTTTGTTGCAGAAACAGCAGTCATAATAGCACTTTGGGTTGCATGAGTTGTTAAGAGTAATCAAGTAGGGCATGGGAAAGTCCTGGGTGAGCCTCTAATTAGTGTGTGACCTTAGGCCACTCACTCAAATACATAGACTTAGTTTCTTCACATGTAAAATGAGGTCTTTTAGGTACCTTGCAGCTGTAACTTTTTATATTCAAAACTAGAATCTGTCTATTCAATATATAAGTTCTGAAGGAATTAAATTTTTCAGATACTATGTCAAGGACTAAGAACAAAGGCCTAATGTTTTGAGTTTTTTCATCATAAATATCTAAAAATGTCTTATTTAATAGAGTTCGTGATTCTACAGGCCAAATTAAATCAGTCCCATCCTGGCCCCAACACAAATGTGCACATACAACACCCCAAAAAATGCACATATGCATGCTAAAATAAAACATTTATATCAGTAATAATAATGACTAGATTATACTGTATTAATAAGAAAATTAAAAATCCAATTAAGAATAAAAGTAATACATAATGGCACATTTAGCATTTTAAAATTTATATAGCTACCCTTTTCAGGGAAAGCTAATATTGGGTGTTTTTTTGATGATTCACAAAGAAATAACCAATTAATTGGATGTGGGTATGTTAATTTTATAATGACTCAAAGGAGATGTATACTTAAGATTTGTGTACTTTTCTGTTTGTCTCATTCAATAAAAAGCTTAACAATATTTCTAAGTGTTGAAACTAGGACTGCATCTCGGTTTGTTGATAAATAAAATCTTTGTTCAGGGGCCACTTAAATATCAACTATATCTAAAATATTATATAGGAAAGTTGTGACACATATTTGGATAGATATAAGAAGGCTATAGATCATGCAAAAGAGCAATGAAATTATTAAATTACTCTCTTGCTATTGGTAGTTTGTTTTACATGCAAAATCATGCTGAGAAATCTAGAGTGTGGCTATTGGAAACATGAACATTAAAAAAAGTTGCAAAGATATCTACAAAATCCTCATTATATACTGTATTGCAAAATCACTGCCATACTTTAGATTAATGAAAATGACTTTGTCTTGATTCTACTTCAAACAAGAAAAAAATTTAAAAGGTCAAGACACTTTGGGTTGGGCTGGTCCTTGGCAAATTAAAGAGTCTCTCTATTGGGCAGCTTCTCTCTGTTTTAAAGGAGGCTTGAAGAGGGGAGGAAGAGACCCATAAACAATTTTCAGGTACTACCACTGGTCTCTGAAGGGCATTCTATCAGGAGTAATCATCTCAGTCGGGAACACAGAGAGTAAAACATTATACATTCCTACTTTTGAGTCAATCTGGGTGGGCTATGCAAATGAGAAGTCACCAAAAATATGCACTATTTAAAATGACAGATCTAGGATGCATTTAAAGTGGGTCAAACATCTGCATTTCTCAAGCTCCTCTGGTTAGTGAGGTCAGACTAGTTTGGAGATTTGAGGTCATCTCAGTAGCTGTCAGTAGACGTGCTATTGCCTGGGCCTATGAAGGAATCTTCCTCTTCATCCTCTGTATCTAAATGTAGAGCAATAGGGCTTTGGATTGTTCTGAGAATGGCAAGAGACTGCTTGAAGTAAATTAAGCAATAAAACGTGACTGAGAATGGATCAACAGTGATTAATCAACATCTCAAACTTCTGTTGGGAAACTAGAGGTGAGGAAGATGGGTTCAATATGCTGAAAGTGAGTTAAAACCAGTTGAGACCTGAGGCCTGAGACCTGAAGTGCCTCCTCAAAGTTTGTAAAACCTCCAGAGTGACGCTGTTTGGTGGCTCTTTGATTTTATGTATGTGTATGTAGGAGGAGCAACATACATGGCTCAGGCTTCTTGTAAATAGGATGAGTTTGTCACAATGAACAATTAAACTTTTATTATCCTTTCCCTGCACAGTGGGAAGGAGTAGGTATTTATTAACATGTGCAATATATTGGTGCAAAAACTAAGGATAATAGAAATTAAGTGACTCAATCAAACATCATAAGCCATGAAAAAAGAAACTAATTAAGGAGAAGAAGAATTTGCAGGAAGCAGAGGTTCACACAGGTAGCAAGGTGGCACTTCAAGGCAGAAAACCCCTAATGTATGGCCCAAAAATTGCAAGTGCATTTGGAAAGTAATGGGAATCCATGAATGTAATTTGATAAGGAAAGTGATACTGTAGTGCTTAATGGCAGTTGTTCTCATAGCAAAGAACAGGATTCAGAGAGAGAAATTATCATCTATATGGATGATGATAATAATAATAATAAAAACTGGTACTAAATAATAATAACAAAAACTGGCAGTTACTATGCTCTAACACCTTTACTATGGACTTTACATGCATCTGCTCATGTAATCTAAGAGGGAAGTAATATTAAAGGCTCCATCATTTGAATAAAACAACCCTTGCTGTAGAGAGGCATTACAAGATCATCTATAATTAAATAGCAAAGCCTGGATTCAAAGCTACATCTACTACTTTCCAGCAGTCATATCTGATACCCATGGTGTGTCCTTAAAAAGAGGAAGTGAAGATATACTTGAGGAGCAATCACTTTAAGTTAAGGCATCATTATCTGTTTGGGCTGCTGTAGAAACATCCTACTAATATTTCCATGTTTATCTTCTATATTTATTATCTATTGCTGCGCAACAAACCATTCCAACATTTAGCTGCTTAAAATAACAAAAAATTATATTCTCACACAGTTTCTGAGAGTTGGGAGGCCAGGAGCCATTAAGCTGGCTTGTTCTAACTTGGAGTCTGTCAAGAGGTTGGCAGAGGCTACCATCATCTGAAGGCTTGACTGTGGCTAGAGGATTTGCTGCCTAGTTGGATCACATGGCTGTTGGAGTTCCAAGCTTCTTGTTAGAACTTTTTAGTTTCTCATCATAGGGCAGCTAGCTTCCTCCAGAACAAATGATTAAAGAGAACGTGGTAGAGGCTCCATTGTCTGTTTTTATTAGGAGTGAATCACTGAACCCATCCACACTCAAGAAGAATTATACTCTAACTATTGAAACAAAGAATATCAAAGAATTTGTGATCATACTTTAAAACCACCACACTCTCTCTTTAATCAGTTCTACATGCTGCAGTTATTTTAATTTATTTATTATAAACAAATCTGATCATATCTCTCTTTTTATTAAACGTTGAATATATCTCATTGGTTTGTAGATTAAAAACCCAATATCTTTGGTCCTGTTTGATGTGGCCACTGCTTCCCAACCCTGCCTTTGTCATCTCTCACTCTTCTTTGACTTTCTGGCCACACTCTCTTGCTTTCAGTTACACCGATATGCCAAATTCCTTTTGGTTCAGGACCATTGCACCTGCTGCTTCTGTGGCCCAGAATTATCTTGCTTTTCCTTTTACTTATTCATCAGGTCTTGATCCAAAAAAATCATCCCTCAGGAAAGCTTCTGTGACTCATCAGCCTTTATCAGCTCCCCAAGTACAAGTTATTGTTGTAGCTTGTACTTCTCCTCTGTGCCACTGATGATAGTTTACAGTGTTATATTTCTTTGATTTTTTGGTTATGGTTTTAAGTTTCTGTTTGTTTTGCTCACTATTGAATCCTAGTGCATGATACAGGGTATGGCTGGTATTAGTGTTTAATAAATGTATCTGTATTGAATATGCTACTATGAGCGGAGGATGAGTTGATGGAACAAACACATCTGCTTTAAGATCCACTTTAAGAGTAGGCAAATACATTTTTATCTCTTATTTTTAATAAGACCTAAAGAAAAACAAACCTTGATGAGATATGCCAACAATGGGGGCATCAACAGAGGAAAAAAAATTAGAGGAAGACAAGGAAGGGATGTGTGTAATCAGAACTCTGCTGTCGTGTCTCAGAGCTGGCTAGGTCAGTGAAGAGATGCAGCCCTAATCTCAATGGCATTGATCCGGAACAGCTTAGACTCAAACTTTAGAATATATCTGCACATCAGGGAGGCTCCACAGGTGGGAGGCTTACTATGCTTTAGAACTTTTATTCTGATGTTTTTCTTCATCAGCTGCCCATGATCCCATCATCCACAAATAATCTTAAAAAACGCACACATGATAGTCTCTGGGAATAGCCCACGGGCAAAAACAGCCTAGAGAATTACTTCTTGAGTTTCATCCTCTTTGTTAACACTTCCCTGGGGAGGCTCCTGGATCAGAACCATCCTAGGATTTGGTGAGTCTCTTCCAATAAGTACAGGATTCTGGGTGAGAGTTGGAAATTGTCCACAGCTACTCATTGTGTTGTCAAACCCTTTGCACTTGTGGGGACTAAGATGCCTGCATTTCTGAGGTTATTCACATAGCAAGTGAGAAACAAAAATAGTTTGTTGGGAAATGAGTTCAGTCCCAGCAGCACAGCTCTGAGCCTAGAGACAAGACAAAGCTGCTTCTAAGAATAAAAGCAAAGTCCGTGTTTTTCTCATTATGGTTTCTCCTGCGTGAGCCCCTTAAAACCTCTTCTATTGTGTCCAGGACTGAAAGCTTCTAGTGATCTGACTGAGTCTCTCTAATTGGGTGGTTGCAGTTCATCCTATTTTTCATTAAAAAAAAAAAAAACAAAACAAAACTCATCAGCACTATAGCCTCCGGGGTCCACAAGGAACATGTTTATGGAGAAGAGGTTTTTGTGTTTTGTTTTTTGTGCATGAAACAAAGTCCATTACACAAAAGCCTCAGAAACCCACTCTAGCCTCAGCAAGCTGTAGTTTCAGACATGAGCGCTCGCTGTCACAGCCATAAATCATTGCTCGTGACAGTCCTACAGGGCCCTGAGAAGGCTGTTCCTTCATTCAGCTAGGCTATTTGACTCAGGGGAGCTTTAAAAAGACTTACCTCCAAAAAATCACAACCAT